AGGACTCGAGTCAACTGACCTGTGTCAGGAAATCATGGGCTTGAGTATCTACACTGCATTTTAACCCTAGGTTAAGGATTTTCTGACCCACGCTCGAATATTGGGCTCTGGCATCCACACTGCAGTGTATAGACCCAAACCAAAGTAACACTATCCCAAAGTGCCTAGCAACCTCCTCCCTCAAAGTATCGACACTCTAGGCCTATTAATTTGCTGGATGGTGGGGAAATTCTACTGCCCATCCTGCTTCCTAACTGTGATGGTGCTACTGATGGGACTCAGGAGCCCATAAGGAATACAAGTACATAAACTGCATAATTAGCTCCTTTGTTGGCTATCTCAGTAGAACGACAGCAGTTTGAGAAGGTTTTATACTGAACTACCATCTAACCTGAGAATTGGGCTTTCTACCTCTAGGTGGAGTTATATTGGCAAGAAAATGTCCATGTGCACCTGTTCTGAGGTTAATTAGAACATCAGTCTCCAGGTCTGTCAAACTATTAAAATGAAACTTTGCAATTCTTAATTCTCAAAATGGAAGTTCAACAAAGGTGTTTTTGTTTGGTTGGTTTTTTATTTGTCTGTTATGAAGTAGGACATAAAATGTAGGTTTTAGAGGAAAAACGCACCCCCCCCTCAGTCTGGCTACTGCTGGCTGCAGAGTGGTGAAGTGCAACACCAGAGCCTGGAGTGCAGTGTGCTCCAGACCCTCCCCCAATCCATTATCCCTGCCTCCGCCGCACCCCAGAAGGCACTGACAAGGGATTCCTGGAAGGCTATAGGGAAGGTTCCGGTCCAACTCCCATTCACTACCCCCACACTGCATTCTGCCCAGGCACCTCTGCACACACAGCCCCAGGGAGGGCAAGAGCCTGGGTGCAAGGGACAGACAGTGGCACAGGACCAAGCAGCAGCCCGGCAGGGAGGGGAGGGGAAGGGAAGCGGCAGAGCTTCCAGCTCAGGGATGATCCCCAACATTCTGGCAGCTGGAAGTCACATCCTCCCTGTCAGCTTTGCTTCCTGCTCTGAACAAGCTCTGCATGGCAGCAAGGAACCTGAGTTGCCACCGCTGCAAGAGACTGCAGGGAGGTTTTGGGACTGGCTTCTACACACCGCCCGGGCACCCCTGCACATGCAGACCCAGGGAGGGCACGAGGGGCCCCAAAGAACAGAGCAGGGACCAAGTGGCTGCCCTTCAGGGAGGAGAAGTGGCTGAGGTGTTGGGGTTATCCTCCTCCAGCTGTGCTCAACCAGGAGCTCTGCCACTCCACTTCCCTGCAGGCCAGCCACTAAGTCCCCGCTCTGCTCTCTGGTCCTTCCACCAAAATCTTGTGACCAAGAAACAGCTCTCTTTGCAAAAAGCTTCTTCTGATCCATCTCCTTTGAGACCCTGCAGGCTCTCTGGTAGTGTGCTTGCAAACTAGTGTTCAGCAGACAATGTGTTAACACTGACCTGAGCTGCTGCCATTTGCAAAGGGAGGTGTGACTTCTGTTTGCAATAGACTGCCCCACAGATTGTCAGCATAGAGAGAACCAAGGAAATTGCCCCAAGCAGGGTGTAAAAAAAATCAACGATTTTTGCTGATGAAGAAAAAAAATCCAGAATACATAACGTTGTTGTTTTAGTTAAATAAAAATTTAAATGTCTGTCTGGTGATGTTCTCCTCCTAATATAGCACAGTAAGAATATCCTCCAAATATTAATGATTAACCTGTTGAATTGGAGATAGTTCACCTCCCAATGACTTCATAAATATCTGCTTCAATTACCTTTGGTAAATGAAATAACCAATCATTCATTTTCTGATACAGCTGTAAAACTAATCTGAAAAGTTTTCAAAATAAATCACTTTAAAAATGTATAGTGTGTACTTTCTAAAAATGAAACCTACATCTATCTCTGAGCTGTGAAGAATATGTATTAAGGTTATAACAACCAACAAGAATGCACTTTTATGTAGAAATCCATGATTAAATCAAGTCTTCCTGACTAGTGATTTAAATCAAATCCACCCCCTGGCCCCAAGGAACTCTGGGACACATCTAGAAGCCTTCTGGGATCTGAGTCAAGCTGGTGTCGCGTGCACACAGGACAGCAATAGGGCTCAGACCCTAAATCCCAGCTTAATGCGGGCTTGAACCGTAGGTTCAATCGCTAGGTTCCACAATTGGTGTGTCGACCCAAGGCGGGTTTGGCTTGAGCCCGGGCTCAAGCCAAGGCTTAGGATACGTCTACACAGTAATGTAAGTCACAGCTTCAGCTCCTCTTGCCTAGATCCGAACAGTTCTCTCTTTTCCAGTCTCAACTGTCCAAATTAAAGTGTAGCAGTTCATCTTAAGCCATTCGCAGGAATACACTGCCCTCATCTCAAATCTTCAGTAGCTGTCCATGAGGGCAGACAGAATATCTATTTCAGAATCTAATATAAAGTTTCCCTCTTAAACCATTATTCAGCAAAACACTTACACATCTATTTAAAATGAATGCATGCTTAACAGTGACCAGTGTCTTCAAATTCTTCCATGAATTTGCCTTCCCCTCCATCTTTCTATTCTTGCATCCATTCAACACTTTTCACATCAGGCTTTCCTCCTCCTTGCATCTCTCTCCAAAATGTGTAGTAAATCCTATGTCTACTGTCATGTCCCCTGCTCCTTTTCCTCTCCCCTCCCTCACCCCACTATTTGGAATTATCTCTTGGACCCTGACAACATTAGAAAAACTCACGATTTGGTCCTCCTAGAACACTTGTATGTGGATGCAACGTGTTTTATAACTGTTCAAAACCATGTACAAGGGTCCCCAATACCATCTGGATTAGGCTTGCTGTCAACAAGTCTAACCACCATTAGTTTAGTGGGATGGGGAACAGAGGTTGCTGGCAAAAGCACAAAATGCTTAAACAATCCCTCCATGACTCTACCACATCAAACTGGAGGGGCTTTCAAAATCTCCCAGAATTCACTACTTCTGGAAGTTATCCCAGGACCTCTGGGACAGTCACACTGCGTATGAAACTGTTTAGAACACTGCTAGTATGGATACAGGGCAAAAATACAACTCATCAGAACCCGAAGCAGAGTGGCTACTATGGACACACTGAAACACATGTTTAAACAGGTTCTGTCCTACTGTTTTAATTAACAATGCTTCAGTTTTCTAGTGCAGACGCTGCCTTGGTGCCTAATGAGGCCCTTCAAAAATGAGCTTACCTAAACACTCTCTCTGCCCATTCCATCCTTATAAGAGTTGGTAAAAATTTTTTGCCTGGGTGGGCAAAAGTTTTGTAAAAAAAGCCTAGCAGACTCCATCTTTTCAAATCCTTCTTGCCTATTTATTTCCTCACGCTCAATCATTCTATAGGTGTCATAGCATCTATAAATGCTATCTGTAACCTATTATTTCCTTTTATTTGCATATATAGATTATAATTAGTTGTGAAATGTCCCATGATGCTATTTATGTATCATGCAAGGAAACCTCTATTAAAGTTATCCTCTTTACTACTACTGCAACAATTCTTATTAAAAAATCCACAATAATGCTCTAACTGGACCATGGGAATGCAGAAGTATCTAATAAATAATAATAAAAAAAAAACACTTTCCCTAGTTTTTAAATTTACCAACTGAAATATCAAATATTTTATATACTGTAAGCTCTCTGGGAAAGGGTCAGTTTGTATAGTGCCTAGCACTGCACGGTCTTGGTCTATCACTAGGGCTCCTAGCTGCTACCATAATACAAACAATAATGTTTGAGACTTATAGCTTAGCTTTTTGACATGTTGGAAAGTCAATATACGTCCAGCCACACTAGACAAGTGCAATCAGCTTGGAAACTGTTAACTTTTAAGCCTAATTTTGGTCACTTTAACACCTGTGTTTGTCTGGCTACATGATGACTTAAGAACATTGTTTGTTTGTTTTTTACAATGAAGGTTATCTTCACAACCAGAAAGCCTAAACGCTTCAGATGTTTGCAAATTAAATCTTAGGATCTGACAAAAAACACTAAATATGGCAACACCTTCAAATTCAAGAGATCTACTTCCTGAGTATTTACAGTAATTTGTCTAGACTAGGATTTAAAGATTTAACATGTTTTCAAACTCTAGTGTTGCTGAAGTCTACATTGCCTTGTCTATGACAAAGAATAAGAACACAATAGTCAGAACCTTTAAAACCTAGTATATACGCTGCCTAAGTGTAATGATGTAATGGGCACTATATTTCAGTCTTCTTCGCTTTGTAATGTTATCAGAGAGAACTGGTTTCTATTCTCAACCTTGCTAACTAAATTCCAGTTGAAGTCTTTAGTAGTTTCAGTGAGAGGCAAAAAGGAAAACAGCTTGACCTTCAAGTTCCCAGCCTCAGTTTACAGTGTGGGGTTTAGATAGATTAGATAGATTGGATAAACTAAGCAAATTTGATTTGCAAGTCAGTGATAAAGTGGAATTCCATAAATTCCATACTCACTTTTTGGAGTATAGCTATATTTTAACATCCCTGTGAGAAACCCAAATCCTACAGATTTCTATTAACCAAAACTAGGATCTTGAATATGGCGTAGTTCTAAGAAGACAATTGTTGACACCTCATGGAAAGCTTTAAAAAAACAAGTTTAAGCAGAAACTTTCATCACTGCCCTCTAATTGCTAGGGACATTCTTTGTGAAAACAGGATTTATGTTTCTTAAGAATCTTTCTTATTCTTTAAAGATACAACCCTTTACTTGATGTCACAATCATCTTCACAACTAAGCAATAGAGGATTGTCTCTTTAGGTGAAAGATTAAAGCACATAAGAGAACAGCTGAACTTTTTATTAAAAAGCCTATTTACATGCAAGATTCCACACTAAAATACTGCAGGAAAAAAAACAAGTAAGCGTGCTATATTGCAGGGTTGCTCATGAGGTATCAGCAGCAGGTCTTGAGTATTCAAATTTTAACAGACCAAATTGAAAGTACTTACAGTACAATGCATACAAGTACTCACCCTTCACAACATGCTTTCTGGTTACCACAAATAAACATTCCAGAGGCTCCCAATTTGATATGGACACTTGGGATAAACAGAAAGAGTGGCCTTTTAATTAACTCTTACAAATTACATTCAGACTCTAGAAAGCGTTACACCCTAGAAATCAATATGGAAATCCCAGTTTAGAAATTCAATAGAATTCCCACTACATATTTTTGATCCCTGTACATTTATATAGTTCTACATCTATATAGAACACCATTCAGTGGAGTGGCACAAAAGATGCATTAGTGAAATTCAAATATAAAAATGAAGTCTTCCAATGACTTCAGTTCTGAGATGGAAGGGAAAAGAGATTTGAACTCCCAACTCTCTAGCTCTATATTGTATTGTTCCCACTCCAGAACAATGTGGGTGGTATTCCAGAACTAGGAGAGAGAAGCCACTGGAACAAAACCCAAATTAATTTACATAAACACACCTACAAGCTTTTTTTCTCCTTCTCACTCCCAATAACTTCTGAATCACTGCAGGCAACTGTTAATATCAAACACTTTAAAATAATACCAGATCACGCATCAATCTTATTTTGTCGTATTTACCAGTCACTCTTACAATTTTAATAAAAAGGCAGCTCTTTTCAACACCACCCCCTTACACCTACCAAAATGACTCAAGACAAACCATGCTTTTAGTAAGAGCATGCCTCATGTTCAACACACTTTGTTCTAGAATCACAGTCGCCAGCCTATATGAACTTGCGAAATGCCATGCAATGCTGTGGAAGACAGGGACCCACTACTGTCCTTAGAAGTTCACTCGAGTTGCCTTTGCATTTAACATCCTTCCTGCACTCGGGATTTTCATATACAAAGAGAAGGGAGGAGGAAAGGGGAGAATCAAAAGCAGCAACTCGTGTGAAACAGCAAAAGAAGGAACAACCCACAGACAGCTCAACGGCCCCCGCATTGAACAGCAGCTTCCGGGAGACTATCTAAGAGCACATGAGACTGAAGCAGACCTGCCCAAGTGCCCAAACCTCTCCCCGTAGCAGGGAGGCCCCCTCGTTTGGGGAGGTTAGTTGTATTTTTTCCCGTCTCCTCCTCAGGAAACGAAGGATTTTGCGGCGTCTCAATCAGGCGATTTAAAACCTCGTTCGCCTTTTGAGGGGGACTGAAGGGGGCTCGGGGGACGTCCCCTCAGTCAAACTGCCCCTGCGCCCGCCACTAGTCTGAAGTCAGTGGGGAGGTTTGAGGAGGAGAACAACAGACGTAGCCCCCCAAGGCGTCCCGCCCCGGTGAGGGGTCCAAAGCGGTCCCAAGCCCGCGGCTCTACTCCCGCCTTTGTCTCAGCCGGGTCGGTCCAGGGGGGACCCCTCCGCCAGGGTGGGCAGAGCCAACTTAGACAAAGGGCGCTTCACGCTCCGGGTCTCTCTCCAGCTGTCACCGGCCGGCAGAGCGTGTCCCGCCGCCGGCCGCTCCCCGCCACCCTGTTCCCCCGGGGGGGGGTGTCGTCGTCGTCGT